TTCTTTAGAAATAAAGTTACTAATTATATGTTTTGAATTATTAGTTTTCCAATAAATTGCTAATTGTATGTTCTGAATTACTAATTTTCCAGTTGTTTTGGTATTTTCCAAAAATCACAATGAAACTCTTGATTTTTTGGAATCCATTTTTGATTTCCTTTTCTCAGCAATGAATTTTTTTCTGAATTTTAAATCCGCTTAATAAATTTGCGTCCTCAAATTATTTGTTCATCGCGAAAATTCTTTTGCCACATTAAATTACTTTAGTCTTTTGTCCTTGTGATTTTTGCTTTTATTTTTTTAACTTTGTTCTGTTAATATTCTTATTTTTGTTCATTTTTTGAAATATCAAAAAAAAGGAAAAAAAGACAAAAACAAAAAATAAGTAATAAAAAAATAAAAAATAAAAATATGAAAAAATGAAAAAAATAAAAGGCAAAAAAAGAAAAAAAATCAACAAAAAAAAAAAAGAAAAAATAAAAGAATTAAAAAAAATAAAAGACGAGAAAAAAGAAAAGAGAAAAAATAATCAACAAAAAAAAAAGAAGAAAAATAAAAAAGAAAAAATAATTAACAGAGAAAAAGAAGAAAAAGAAAAGAGAAAAAAGAAAAAATAAAAACAAAGATAAAAAAGAAAAAAAAAGTGTTCTAACCTTATTGTTTACTTATCTGTGCTATATTATCAGTTACCCATTTTATTTATGTATACAGTTGCTCCCACTTTTTGCTCCTTGGATTTACTTTTTTTTTTTCATTTTATGGACCTAATCATCATTATTTCTAACGTGCTATAAGATTTCAATAGTTTAAATTTGGGTTATGTTTGCCAAACGTGAAAATTCACGAATATCGTTTAGTAATTTGTCGACTATTTTTTCACTTTTAATTTTTAAAATGCATTCTTAGCGTTCAAATTATTGTTGAAAGTTAGTGATACTTACGATTTCACTAATCGAATTATAACAAATCGTTTGTATTTGAAAATGAATATTTGTGCTAATTGACAAAAAAATTCTTAAAAATTGCATTATGAATGTTTTCTATATAGTTCTCTATTTCAGGCTTTTTTTTTCTTTTATAGTCAAGAGATGTGATATTTGAAGACATCAATGCTATTAAATATTTGATTTAATTGTAATTGTTGAAGATTTTTCTATTCATTGTATCTTTATTTCCAATTTTGTTTACTTTTCATTAGAAAATAGATATTGGTATTGTATGTAATAATTGAGCTTTAACCGGTGTTTCTACTAGGCAACCTGCCATTATGATATGATATTTTATATTGTGTTGCTATTATATTTTGTATTATTAAATTTTTTATTATCGCATCGTTATTAGATATTGAAATTTTCTTTTTTTCATTGTTCGATATTTTCATTTTTTAAAAATTTTTTTTCATTATTCGATTTCACGTTCGTTGTTCGTTGTTTATTTGCATATTTGCTGCTTATTTATTTATTTATTTATTGTTTACATTTTTGTTTATTACACTTTTGATACTGCAGGTATTTGTTCTGTATTGTTATCAGCTTTGAAAGATGATTGTCTTCAAAAAGTTTGTGCTTTTTACGTAAGTTTTGTATATAAGAAGAATGATTTGTAGAGAAAAATGCTTTCTATGCTTTTAAGAATTTTTTACTTTTATTTTTTTACTATTATTATTCATTAATAATACTATTATTAAGTCCTCTTTAACCATACTTTATTCTTTTTCACTCAACAAAATGAATATGAAAAAGTTTGTATTTGGACTTTTTTATTCAGACAGCATGGAATTTGTGGTGCATTTTTTCGAAAATTTGGCATTCAGAATGATTTTGAAATGTTAAGAATTTCATATTTACACCTAGTATCATTTATTGTACAATAATCAAAGTTTAAAAATACATGAGTAGTTCAATGTCCTGAAAATGTCGTGAATATGTTTTGAAGTTCAATAGTTAGGATGCAAAATAAAAGTCACATTTTTTTTCGGTTGTCCAAATATTGTTTTAGCGACTCTTTTGTGATTCTTTTGTTCATTGCTCAGAGTTTTATTTTATAATATTTCATTTTCCTTTCCTCAGACCATTTCCGTTCAAATGTTTTTATTGCTTAATTTATGGTTCGTTCTCTTTATGCTATATTTACTTATTAATTCTAATATTTACTTTACTCCAATCGAAAGAAATTCTTATAATTTAACATTTCCTAACTTTTTTTTCCAACATTTTCTATTTTTGAAATTTGCGATAGAATTAATTGTGAAACATTTAATCCATTTAATTTTACTAGTGTTTGTTAATGTTGTGTTTTAGATATAGTTCGATTAATCATATTTATTTTCAGTATTGAAAAGTTTAGGTTGCAGTTAATTGTATGTATTATATCTAAACTATTTTTAGCAGTAGCAATAGCTGAGTAATTGCTGGAAGTTTTTCCATTGTTAACTTTATTTTTTATTTCAAATTATAAGTTAATGTCCAGTTTCTGTGATCATCCTGGCAACTTCTTTCTCTGAAAAACCGAAATTCTAATTTGATAGATATTTATCTCACCTTTCACCTAACATATTATTGACTGAGACATAGGAGATGTCAATGAGAGTGCACTTAAGGTTAGCATGATAGTCGCGAAAATGAGCTCATTGAATCGAAAAAGATTTGCAGCTTTCAAAAAGCACTGGGTTCTTTATAATTAGTATTATTATTTAATAGTTGCAATATGTATTCCTTTAAATATTTCTTGTTGAGTTTTTAAATTTTATTCAAATTGTTTAAATTTTAAAATTGCTTTCAGTTTTTTATGAACATCTGAGTTCTTAAACTTCTAAAGATTTTGGACATTGTCCGAAATCATGAATTGTCCAGTTTCTTCCTACTACTGATACATCAATTTTCCCGAATTATTGGTGTTCATGAATTCATTATAATATCTATGAATTTTATGAATATCTATGAATTTTTACTTTTTTTCTTGCTTATCTTCCTGTATTTCGTTTGAAATTTTTATATTTGCTTATAAATTTGTTTGTTAATTTTTGGATATCAATTGGTTTATTTGAAGTTTTGAATTTTTGAGCTTCTCAACATCTTTAAGCAATTGCAATTTTCGAATTTTTTGACAATTATTAGCTTTTTGAAAATTTTTTCGATTTTTGGATTTTATTGAAAATGTTGAATTACCGATTTTCTTGGAGTGGATTCTTTGAATTTCTTAATTCAGACTTTCAAATTTATTCAATTTCTTGGTTTTTGTGTTTTTTTAAACTTATTAATTCATGAATCCTTTCAATTTTTGAGTCTTTTAGTATTTGTGAATCCTTTTTCAATGCGTGAATTTTCTGCATATACCAGTTTATCAGTTGTTTTAGACTTTTCTGAATATTTCTTTTTCGAATTTTTCGCTTCTTTTTTTCAATTTGTTTAGATTTTCTATTTTTGATTTGTTAGATTTTGCATGTTTTTTTGCTCCATTCATTTTATTATTTTTCTTTTAATTTTAATGTTTCATATCTCATTGTTATCATGTCTTTTTGTTAGTTTCACTTTCTTTACTTACTTTTTGCATTTTATTCATATTCCATTTCGCATGTGTTTTTTACTTATCACAATTTAATTTTCTATTTATCTCCAATTTATACTTTCCACTTTCGTCAATTTCGCTTTCCGCATTCTTTTCAACTCACTTTATTTGTATACGTT